AGACCACTGATTTCTCTATCTAATTTGCTCTCAAAGTCGTGCATCTGCTTACTCCAAGCAATTAAACTAGTCAGGATAACTTTTTCTTCATTATAGAAGAACTGATGTTTGTTCTAATGTAGAAATACAACACACACACACTGAAGCCCTCTGACCAGTCAACACATCTAGCCACAGGCAACTAATTTAATGCTGTACCTTTTCCTCTGAATTTCTCTCTGTTTCTGATGACAGCTGGGAAACAGAGGCTCTGAACTGTAGACACAAAATTTCACACACCCCTATGCAGAAAGTAACCTAAAAAGGAATAAATTACTATCCTCTTAATTATCCAGTATAATATAAACTTACTTGTTTCACCTTAAAGTCCTCAGCCACAGTCATGCAGCATTGCTCAAAAGCTCATTAAAGCATTTAAAAGCTCTCTTTATATTTAGTTGGCTTTAGACAATGATCAAGGTGATTTATTTCTACTGGTTTTGATTATAAACTTACAACAGAAACTATCCTTCATTATACTTCAATAATGCTTAGTATAAGGGGGTTATGATTTGATCACATTTATTTGCAAATGCTAACAACAATAACACAAATGCTAAGAACTAATAATATAGATTGCATAGGACCTTATATCCAAAGAGAAATCACAGTATATACCGTATCTTTTAAAACCTGACAGAGCACTCATTGAAACTGGAGACCAACTTCACAAAACCTTCCTTTTTGGGTGGCTTATATGCAGCCACAGTGAACCCTTAATTAATTCCTAATATGGTTAGGTGAAAAGCACAACTTCTGTTTCCAATGTGCACCCAATGTTTAGTGCATTCAAGCTTAAAAAAAACCAACCAAACAAGTAAACAAAAACTTGAGATAGGAAGATAAAATAAAAATGCACCCTAACAGTACAGGTTGGTAAAAGGAGTGTATGTTCTTACAGGCTTATATTTCCTCTATATAATTATGGCTTTAGGATTGCCCTTTAGAACAGATAAATCTTATTATCATTCAGTAAAGACAATAGAGAATAAGGTCTTGATTATGCATAAAGTTTGCATTCTCAACTGATCTTGCTGTGAGAGAGAAATTCCTGCTGAATGACAATAAATCCAGCTATTTCTTATTTCTTCTAAAAATCATCCACCTATGAATTGGAGATTGGTTAAGGAAAATGTTAGCCCTTAGATAAATGTCTCTCAGAGACAGATGTCATACATAACATGGCCAGACATGCAGCTTGGAGGGAATAACCATTTTCCCTGACAATGAAGCATAACTTACAGAGAAAATCTCTGAGACTCCTCTTTGCTGACACAATGACTCTCATGAAGCATGGGATTGCTTCATTCCTTCCCGAGGTCTTCTACTTGCAAGTATCAGGTTGGTAAAATCATAAACAAGCTCCGGTTAAGAACCCATTTGGTACCAGAAAAACACAAGATATTGGGAACACTTGGAGATGGGAACTGAGACATATGGAGTCACACTCCTTCCCCTCTATCACTGTAACTGTCTTCAACACCATCAAACAACTTGTACTTGCTTCTCTTCCCTTTCCTCTAAACCACCTTGGCTTTGTAAAAAAGGAAACAATTTAGAAGATATTTTTAAAAATTCCTAGACACAGGCAGTGGTGGCCATACTAACCCAACAATCAGTCTGAAGAGACAATGGGAACACAAGTTCTATCTATGCTTAAATTCTGAATGTGAAGAGGTGAATTATGTACTTATGTATGACACATGGAGGTAAAACCTGTTCCAAGCAACCATGTCCCACACAAACGCTGACCAACAGACCCACACCATGCTCTTCAAAGTTTAAGAAGTGGTAGTGAGAAGACTAATCTACTTTCCAATGGATTTATGATAGCTCAAGTAATAGTTTCATTGCTTGAGAATACTGACAAAGGGATTGTGATACTACTTTCCAAAAAAAATTAGAATGTTATTCACCACACCTAGTCACTGCCATTGCTGCCCTCCAGACAACCGCATCACATCCCCAGAGCATTTTATGTTTTCATAAACCATGCATTTAGATGAGATAAGATTAAAGCTGTTGGAGTTTCATATTTTATCCCAAGGCCAGGCTCATGATTTCAATTCTGACTTTCGCATCACAAGAGTTGAGTAAAGCTATGTGCATCTGAATGGTATTTCACATCTCTGTGTATGTCCGCCTTACAGCATTTTCAAAGACTAAGGTTGTTTCTTTCCCTGATAAGGGTGGAAATTTTCTCTTTAAGAAATAGACCTAAAAACCTTCAGAGGAAAAATACATCATACAAATGTATCTATTTTATACACGTTTTTTTTATCAGGGGAGAAGTCAAAGTTACAATGTAGCTGACATATTTTTGTTTAACAGTTTCTGTTTTACAGTGTTATTTCTATAAAATTAGCAATGAGACTTATGAATACAAGCTTAACTCCTGAAGTGGTACCTAAGTAGCTCTTCTGTTCCTTTCCCTGTACAGATAAGAAACAGGAAGTCAGTTTTGGACTACAAAACATGTGCAATGTCACTGTTTGCTAAACTTGAATCTGTGTAGGATTAACTTGGTAAAATATCTCAAAATATGAACAATAAAAGCCATGTGGCATTTTCAGTATTTCCAATTCACTTATTAAAAATAAATCATTTTATTTCTTCCTCCGATGATATAGATACTCCAAAAGTATGTTTAAATATACTCATCAGTGCAACTATCAAAGGGTAAGTGTGTATTACAGAAACGAACTCCCAGATTAAGTATATATTGTGAAATGTATGTGAATGTGCATGACTCGAACCAATGAACTGTGGCCTGAAATGATGTCACAGAATGTGCAGCATTAAGTGGAAGGTTAAACCTACTTGCATCTCGGTTCATTAAACGCAGTTAAAGTGCAAATTCCCTCATTCTGACAGTAGTAATCACAAGGGTTCACTTTCTGGTCACAGCGCTGACTTTTAAACCCCACAGAGCATCTGCAGAATTTCAGTAAAATAGACCTATATAAATATTCTGCCTTTTGCTGAACAGATTTTTACCGCATTATATATAATGATGGCAAGACACACACACATACACAGACACACATCCACAGATAACAAAGTTAATACTCTGTTTTTCATGGGAGGTTCAATCTGACTATACTGAAAAGTTTGCTCATTAGCATTGAACAAACACTTTAAAAACAATGGGCCTATACTAACTGATGGGTTCAGGAATCCAAAATTCTTAACAAAATATTATTGTCAAATCTACTACATGTTTGTATTGATCCATCCAGAGTTCAATGGCTTTAAAAATGTTCATGACTGTTTTCTTAGCCTTGCTAATAGTATTGGCATATGCTGCAGCATTTATATATTGTAAATCCATACACAAATTAATGTAAGAAACTTGTTTTCCTTGAGATGCTATGGTGTTCCACATGACTTTGAAAAAAGAATACGCCAGTTTTATAAGGAAAAAGACAGGAAGAAACTCAGGTTTCCAAAACAGCCATTCTAGGTGTTTAATCAAATGAATCACCAGACTTCATCATCATATTTGGGCCTTACATATGGTAGCCATGATATTCTCACTGTGCTCAAATTTATGAGTGTCTCTAGTCCTCAACTAAAGACATTTAAGGAGATACAAATAACAGGTAAAAAGGGTTGGATTAAAATAATAAGACACTTAAAGCATTTTCAGCTGAATAAGGACTACCACGCAGAACTGCATTCCACTGTCTCTAACTCCAAAGCTGCAAACATCTGTTGACAAGTTCTTTTCAATAGTACAGCAACTACAGTTTTTGCCCCTTTGCACATTCAGAAGTGCTTGAGCTCTCACAGGGAGGAACAGTTGGTCTGTCTCTTACACTGGTCAGACTACAATATCTTGGCATTTCTCTGTGTAACCTCCTTGAGCGTCTGAATACAACAGACAGTCTCTTTTAAGATCACCTACCTCAGGTACATCAACAAAATGAAGGGATGGCTGTATCCGTAATTATAAAGTTGTAACGCCAGATCCCTTTGGGCAGTAACTTACTTATGTCACTCTGCAAATGAGACACTTGAGTCCAATCTCTCTTCCAATACCTCATATGTTCCTGGAGGATGCTCTGACCTCCAGGTTGTTCTGAAAACTGGAAGACTATTCCACAATGAAGCTTTTCTGCAGTGCAGAAAAGATCACATAATTTATTATTAGGCAAAAGTAAAAAAAAACAACCCAAAACCTGGAGTATGACTACTAGTTCAGTTTAACTGAGAGCAGGAAAGAAATTAATTTCTTGCTACAATGACTACTTCTGTATTTTATATTCAACAGCTGAAAAAGAAGACACACCATAGCTCTCAAGAAAGGACTAGAATGTAGGTTTTTCTACCTCTTAAGACAGTACTTCACCGTGTAGACTGAAGATTCAAATTTCCTTTGGTATTCTGGACTTATAAAAAGAATCCTGAATTATTCTCTCAACAATGGTGCAGGAGGGAGAGACCAATCTTGCCACAGAACAGCCAAGCTACTGTGGGCAGTGTGAATGTTAGGGCAGAAACTAGAGATACATATCCTCAGACCAATAAAGCAAATAAATGCTGAGATTATTCTTCCTATTCTCTAGCCATCAGGTTCCTTACAGGACTGTACCACCCCCACCTCTGACCATCTTTATAGGAGAAAAAACTTAATCCACCCTTGAGAAGCTGGTCAGGCAACTATCCTGTACCTCTGAATTTCATTCTGGAACAAATAGCCTGAAATTATTAGAAGTCTCAAAACATAACTAATATATATTGTGAATGCATATAGATACAAAGATAATATATCTTTCATTACACTTATTGCAAAAAAGCAAAGTATGGGGTAACAGAAATAGAAAAAGTAATTTAAGTTACAACTGCAACCAGCACATTATACATCCTAGAGAGATCAAAAATACAGACACATGCATAATAATTTTGTTATTTATTAGTACACAGATATTTGAATGATCTACGCAACACAAGATACTCACAGACAGACAGGTATATTTGTCTCTGGGTCCAGTTGACATGTACCACCATTGTAACAGAAGCCATCACATAACTGACAGGTGGAGGCAATCTTTCCATTAGTGCAACTGTCATGGTCAAAAAAATAAATTACAAATAGCAATCAGTATTTTATTAAATCTGGTGAATTCCCTTATAATTATTGATATATTAAAATATTGATTTTATGATATGTATAAGATCTACTGATTGCAAGAATTCTAGGTTCCCACCTTAAAAAGCTAGCACAGGCATCAAGCTTATTAGACAAAATATTTTAAATCTTTCCTTTTATGAAAATATATTATTATTATTATTATTATTATTATTATACAAAATAACCACTCAGCAATACAGCAGCACATCTTACTACATACGCTTTCATTAGTATACATCTCTGTCACTGTCACAGATACTGCAGAAGGAACAAATTTCAACAGTGTGGTAAAATTCAACTGTAAACTTTATTAAATATTCCAATTTTTCCAAGTGAAGACCCATTCAGCCTCCTGCTACACTATGCTTCCCCCAGTGAGGAGTGCTCCAAATTTTGGTTTAAAAAGGCAGGAGCCAGTGGGTTTTGCATGGGCAGGAGCCACGCAAAGGAACTGTTCTGATGTGATAATTCAGTGGCTAGCCACTGCGTAAGAGATTTAAAAGATAATGCAAAATAATTGGTATTAAATATACCATTTTGAACACAATCATCCCCTCCCCACACACTTACTTGCATACGATGTCATTACTGTCCTTGTTTATTATACAGCGTCCCCCATGACATCTGATACACTTGTCCACTTCACATTTTGGACCTTCAAATCGTACTGGACAGACACATTCTACACTTCCATCATCAGAAATAGTACACGATTCAGAATTCACACAATAATGGTGGCAAACATCTGCAAGTAACATGTAAATTAGTTACTAAAGACATTAAGGAGGATCATATAAAAAATAATACCTTATTTTTCTGTTTTAAAAGTTACTATAATAAAAACAAAACTATAAATGTGGCTGGTTGCTCACTGACAGCTACAAGAATCAAGAATATCCCAGAAACAGATGCATAATATATTAATGATGTAGTCTTGAGAAATGAAATAGAACTCATAAGAGATTTTTTTTTTTTCCTTCTAGATGTCTAACCATTTATGGCATCATCTCACATAATATAAAGACTACTGATGAGAAAAACAGAGCAATGTTAATGTATTTAATGGGACATTGGCTGAATAAAAATCTTTTGATACATTCCCATTAACAACATTATGCTAAACTGAAATGGAAGCAGTATTTTGAAATAATTAAGTTTTATTTTCATTTATCCACATATTAAAATTTCATGAAGTTCTAATAATATAAAGACATAATCTGTAAGTTCTACAAAAAATGACACACATGCTTATCTTTATAGGCTGTGCAAGAACCCATTATCTTATTTAACTGCTTAAATGCCAGCAGGACTGAGATTTCAAGTAGTGGATTCTTTAACTCTATAGAAGCACCAGCACTGTCTCTTTTTTTTTCATACCCTTTTAAAAAACTCAAGTTTGAGTTTTTAACTGACTGAAGGAACTTCCAGAGCTACAAAAAACTGGTATCTTAGCATTTAGGATCATTTTTATTTATGTTGTAGTGACAACTTTATTTTTTTTTAAAAAGTCATTATTTAAGCTCCTTAATGGGGCCAAATCATTCAAAGTCTCTATATCTCCTCGTTTCTAATACTTTCTCCAGTTCTGTGTTAACAGTTCTGTGTTCTCCAGTTAAAACATTGCGTTGAGCTTTTAGTAGCATTCTTGATGGACAGATGAAGTAATTGATATATAAAATATATCAGTTCTGAACTATGCATCTGTATTAGCTTAAACTGGTCTATATTAATAAAAGTTTGCCTTTCTGTCAAAAATAAAAATGCACATCCTTTAAAGCACAAGATATGGCTGAGGGTGAATCAATAGCAGCTAGAAGCTTGGCATTATCAAGCTGTTCACTAGAGAATGAAACCTTGGCCAAATGGCAACTTCAGCCTCGAATCTGGAAGTACAAACCCTCAAGCTGCTGTTGAACTGGGGGCACGTTGTAAGAAGCAAATTGGAGATTAATAAAATTGATATATTTTATTGAACATACTCAAGATGAATGATTTGTGATGCTGTCTCATAAAGTGGGAAACATTTTACTTATGCTTCTCTGTGCTCAGTTTTTCCCCTCTCAGAGAAATACATACTGACCGCCATGCCATTGGTGTTCACCATGCTGGAAGAGTTCTGTGAAAGGACCAAGCAGTCGACTGTTGGAGGAGTTATTTCTATTTGATTATTCCCTGTATGTCTCTGTCTCTTCACCTATCTCTGTAGACTCATCTACTTATGGAATCACTGACTACTGAGCACCCAGAGAGGCTTAAAAGACACCCAGTGAAGTAGGTTGTTGCTTGCGGTTCCCTGAGCCAAGTTTAAAAAATGGTCATTTGCAGCAGAGGGCTGTTTTCTGAACAAAAACTACCACAGTTTGAAAGCTCATATTGAGAGACATTTTATGAAAAAAGCATTGCAAGGGGGAAATATTTCCATGTACATTAAGACAGTCCCCTCGCTAAAAACAAGGAATAGGAAGTTCATACTCTAAAATAATTATTGGCTTTTAGTATTGATTAGTAGTCACAAACCTTTAATCTTGTGCCATATCTAACATGCATATGCAACATTTAGACTGAAATGACACAAAACTAATTATTTTTTTTTCTTTTTTTCCCCCCACCCCCCCTAAAGAAAGGAATTCGAGTTTCAGGGAAAGTAACAGCTTGCGAGATCAATCTTTGAATGATTGTATCTGCCTGAAAACCTTTTCTATTTTTTAGGTTGTTTGGGTCCTAAATGACACAAGAAATGAACTTTAACTAGTCTGTATATCTTATTTCAGGAATTTAAAATAGGGAGTAATATTCAAATACATCAAATACATGTGTATATAATAACATGCACAATGTTAGTGGAATTCTATGTAAATTCATTCACTTAAATTTATGTCAGCAGTACCAGCGCCTTGACACAGAGCACATATTTTGGTTATTAGCCCTTATGTGAACTAATCACAGGAGAAACTCTGCATTGGGTAATTGGAGATGATAAGTATGAAGAAAATAAGGTCTTTGCAATCTGGCAATACTGCAAGTAAATGTCTTCTCCCTGCCACAAAACCCACTAATATTTTCAGCTTGGAAGCATGAGTACCTATGCACATTCATGTATCATCCTTTGCATATGAACTAGTTTCAATCACATCACAGAAAAAGTGAAAAAGATATCTTGGAGGCAACCAATCTTTGCAATAATGCTATATTAATATATTCCAACATGCATACAAAGTGAATGTGATTAATAAAGCAAAAAAACCCCCATACATATGAGTGAATAAAGCAAAAAAATCACAGATGTGAATTTATACACACATTATTAACTGAACCTGTACAGTTTGATAGAACTGATATTGGCTATGAAAAAAATACTCTTAGATTGTAAGAATTTTTCGTAAAAGTATTAAGGTTTAAATAAACAAAAGCTTAATTTTATTTTGTATTTCATAATGTGTTCAAGTCTCTGCATTTTTCCAAAACATCAGCAGACAACTCAAATCTGATAATAAGCATTATTTAAAAAGTACCCCTAAATTTACATTTAAAGCAATTCTTTAAAAATAAAAAAAAAAAAAAAGAAAGAAAGAAAGAAAGAAAGAAAAAAAGATGTTTGCAGAAGCATTCAACTAGAAACAATTTGTTTGGTTTTGGGTAAGCCTCAAGTAAATATTTTTTTCTTAATCTATGTGTCTGTCTGTGCATGATTTATGTACTATACTGTTTTCAAATACCCAATTGTGTTTGCTGATAGTTATTTGTGGATCCATGCAGTTTATTTAATACCAAGTGGGAGAGAATCACAATTACTGCTGGTTTTCCATTCAAAGGTTTCAATTTATTTCATAGTCTCCCAACTGGAAATACATTCAGCTTACTTCAGTACAAATCCTATTTAAGATGCACACTAACCCTTTCCTCGTTTGGCAGACTTTTCACTAAAACTAAATATTTTTTGTATCTTGTAGATAATTCTAAACCAGAACTTCGTAACAGCTAATTTCCCTTTCATTTTGTTTAAATCTGGCCTTCTTCAGCAAATTCACTGAATTATGCACAAAAGAGATGATAGCTTCACATTTAATATTCTATTCTATAGCAAGTACTATGACAGTTCTCCATTTTAGAGTGTTACAGTCAAAGCACAGAAGGAGTAGAAAAAGGAGATAAAAAAATTTCTGATCTCAGAAAAATAATCAGTTTCAGATTAGGGTTGCTAGTGAGTCATCATGTTGAAGAGACATGAGGAAGACAAACTGTTATTTTGAAATGAGTGACCAAAAGAAGAAATTCAAGATTATGTTCAAATGTCTTGAGTCACTCAAAACCAGATAATGGTGATCCATGCTAAGAGAAAGCATGGAGCAAAAAGAAAGATAAATGGAGTAAGAACCAAAGGCCTATTGCTTGATAATCTTCTTTCCCCTCTCCTCTGTAAAACAAGTAAAAATTTAAAGACAGTTCTAAAAAGTGAGAAGAGCCTTTGTAAAGGCATAGAAACCTTTGGAAAACAGTATGTCAATTAGAAGAGACTGATGGGTAAGTGGAAAGGCAAACTATGGAGAACTTCAGATGCAGAGGATAGAACCTAAGTCCTGAGAATTAAACAAGAGTAATACTTCAAAATCCTGATTTTCAGTACTAGGAAGGGGCAGGAACCATACTGAAGATGACCTTAAACTGAGCAGGATGAAGGAATATAGAGGTGTGAAACTAAAAAGTCAATTGTACTGCTTACTGCGGTTAGAAATAAAAGTGAAAGGTAAGGTAGCATTTGGAGACACAAGCGATGGTCTGGGAAGATAGAGGATACCAGAGAAACTCTTTAACCAACTATGTCAATTCATGATGTTTAGGTATCACACCAGCATAAGACAACAAATATGAGAAGTTGAAGTAGAAAAATTTAACACAATTATCTCGTTTCTATCGATGAAGTCAGCTGTCTCATACAGCTCCATTGTACATATTCATTCATGAAAATACTAAAAAAAATCATTCCTAAAAAAGCTTTTTCTTCTCCTACACATGTAGATACTGCAGAAATGTGTTCAAAGATCACTTGAATACACCTGATTTCGTCCTCTTAGCAGTATGAATCATGTGGAGCCAAGTTTACCAATGAGTGTCATAGAAAAATCATTCAAATCACGTTAAATGTTCATTTTGTAGAACTTTCATTATAAATCCAAATTCCAGAGTATTATAAATCCAGATTTAAGAGTTTTTGAAGATTACTTACAATACTGACATCTGTCTCCTGTATACTCAGGCAAGCAGTTGCAAAAGGGTTGATTCCCAGCAGTGACACTGCAGGTTCCTCCGTTTTGGCAAAAGTGTTTGCAGACCGTCTGATTGCAGTTTGGTCCTGTGAACCCCAGCGCACAGTTGCAGGTAGGCCTCCCTGTTCAAACCAAAGAAAACTATTTTATGATAAAAATAAACATTAAAATAAGAATCAGCACTTTAAAGATACATACATATATCATCACAGTAGCAAGTTTTAATGTATGAGCCCAACAACATTTCTGTAGACACTAATAAAACATGCCTTTGCAAACATTGCTTTTTAAATAACAAGTCAGCACTGTAAGATATGGACACCTCAAAAACTGCATTTTACACCTTTGCATGCATGGTCATTGACTATTTGGGAATTATTTTAAAAGCCAGTCTTAAGCAGGAATTTAAGATATGACTAAGCTCTTCAAATTATCCTGCCAGGCTGGGTTCCTCTGGTTGCAGAGGATAAATGGTTGTATAATCAACACCGATGACTCTTCAGAATACACTTCATTATTCTCAAATCTACAAACGTTTATGTATAATCACATGAATATACAAATGTTTGCTAATACGCTAATGGCCAACTTTACATAACAATTTTTACTAAAACATAACCATCTCTGCCTGTTTTGTTATCCTATCCCTCCCATATAATAAATAGTGTAACATAAAAATTGCTGTTCTGTATCAGACCAAAGGTGACTATAAGGTCGATATTCAATGTCCAAGAAGAAGTGAACACCTAGAATGAACATTTGCACAAAATGAACTCCTATGTTAAAAGCTTTTAAAATACTATTTAAAACTCAATGCATTTTCCACCTATGATTCTTCCCTATTTTAATTTCCCCATTGTTTTCCTTATCTAAATCTCATGTCTAAAGGATTTATAGCTTTGTTATAATTCCACTGTTTTATTAAAATCTTCCAATTTTCCCTGACTTTTTTTCTTAAGGCTTATCTTCTTTATAACAAACTTCTAGATCCCGTAAGTGTTCTTCCATCTCCTGGATTGCTTTTATATCTCATTTGTAATATTCTTTTCAAGTAAATGACACGATACATCCAACCAGCCATCTCCCTTCTCACTTCCTAATAATCTATTCTCATTCTTGTTTATCTCACAAAGCATCATTTTTCCCTCACCCTCCTTCCCTTTGCTTTCATCCAGCCTTTAGGGTTTTCTTAAACTTAGGGAAAACAGACTGAGTTTAACATTTTTCTTCTTCCTGGCTTCCAAGATGGGTAAGGAAAGAGATGAAGATTAACCAGGACTTGAGGACACTTCTGAAATAAAGGGGCAGACAGGATGTTTGTCATTTGAATCGCAAGGAACCCAACCTGCTGGCAAGTACAATCAAGAGCTTAACTGGGTTATTGCAGAGTAAGGGACAGATGACAAGCAAGGACTCATTCCTTCCAGAAAGTCACAGAAATACCATAAATCTGAATAAAGGACTGTGCATAGGCTGGCACTAGTCAAAGAGTAAGTAGTGATCAGGCAGAACAAAAGGAATGCCCCATAAACAGACTACAGAAAACCAGAACAGTAACATATGTGCTTTACATAAATGGTAAAAGTCTAAGAATTAAGATGGGAGAACCAAAATATCTAGTCTCGAATGGGACCACCAATATAATTATTTATGACAAATTTGCAAAAGGAATGCAACTAATGGGCTGCTGTGAAATCAATACACATTTCCTTCATACCTAGTCGTTGGTGATGGAATAGAGCTGTGTGTTCAGAAGTGTTAAAGTCAATCAAATTAGCAAGTTAACTACGTAATGTAGTGTACATGTCCTTCGGACTGGAATTGCAGGCACAAACAGGAAAAATAGCCTATTAGATTTTATTACTGACACCCAAATCAAGATGATGATGTGACTGTGGAAACCAAAAGAGATCAGAGGAAGTCAGGGAATACATTAGTGATGAGGAACTCTGGTGATTCCTGCATTTACATTTGAAAAACTTCACACAACGCCATAGGGTAGAAAGAAACTTCTTACGTATAAAGAATCCTACTTCATGGAGGGATGGGTTAGTGAGCACACAAAAGAAGCTACACTTGACTTGGGCCTGACATGGTTTAAAACGTACAGAAGAGTCAAAATCCTAAATAGTCAAATGAAAAAACATTTAAGGGTTACTTTTCCATAATAATTATCTCTCATCCTCATACTTTTCCTCTACCAGGAAATCCTTACTGCTGCCTGATTTACTGATGCATTATGACTAGGTCCCTTCCTTGCTGTCTTTTGTCTCATTCATTGTTTCCTCATTTTAATACAAGGTCTGGTGTAGGTATCCACAACTACTTTCAGATTTGTCTCCTGATGTGTTTTACTGCAGCTGCATCTAAAACTCTGAAATGTGCAACCCTTCTTACCTACTTTTTCTTTTCTTCTCTATTCAATTGGTTGTCTCATTAAAGTAATGTAATCTTAATTTTCTTCTGTTCTGCCTTTATTTTAATACTTTGCAATCATTTAATATCATATTTGTTGGAGAATTTTTCAATGCAAGTGACGTACCTTCATTTTTTCTACTCTCTCTGATTCATTCAGAATGATTTATTTTTTTCCTTCACTTACTCTTCTTACGTGAAACCTTTCATGCAATTCTTTTCTATGTCTTCTATTTTAAGCTATGCTAATTTAAAGTGTTTTGCAAATCATCCTAAAGGCCATGAGATCAGTTAGTCTCTTTCTCTAATTAGTACAGCAGGAACAAAACCATTGACTTAAAAATAGCTCCAACTAGTTTAATATGCATCAGCCTGGATATTCATATCTGTCCCCTGTGATCTAAACATTAAATCAAAGATGTTGAACTCAGATATTAGCACAGACTCTTCATGTTTTCCCCATGTATACACTTGTATGTAAATGTCTCCCCCTAAGCCAGGGGGTTTCACATAATCCTTTATCTGAATCAGGGTTTCAATAAAAAAGTTAAAATAAAATAGTGATAGAATATAGATCTAGAGATCTGAAATCAGTTTTTATTATTAATATTTCTCTGGTTTTTAAAATGATAGGGCAATGCTATTTTCCTTGTTTGTAGAAAAGATTATTCTATTCTTTGCTAATGTAGGCTTATAAATATGCCCAAACTGCCAACAGTTGCATGAAAATTTAATTCAATATGGCCTAAAACCCATTCTTGTCACACAATTTAACATGACTTTTCGTAATCTTAATAGTTCATTGCCTATTTACACACAGCCTGTTGGTATCTAAAATAATAATAATAATAATAATAATAA